GTGTTATCATATTCCCACAATTTTAATCCTATTTAGCTAAAATCTTTTTATTTTATAAACAATTTACCGTCAGTAGAACTTCTTTGTTGATAGTGATCAATCCAAATACCGAAAATCCAACAGGAGGACCGTTCAAGCGAGATAAAAACAACATATGTATCTAAAGAGAAACAAAAGTTTAACCAGGTTTGATTATTCGTGCAAAAATAGGAAAATACAGAAAATTCTATAAACCAAAGTATGCAATATTATTGTGAACACAATGAAAGAAGCAATACATATTTTGCTTTTAACAAGTTAATGAATGAATCAAATGGAATTTACCGGAATTAGTCTGTTGTTACATGGCATGGTAGAGAATACAGTCAATCTGTATACTTTATCGTTGAAGTCATGAATCTGCAAGAAGATAAAAATAAGTTATGGTTTTAAATTTAGGCTTGCAAATACAGTAATATTGATCTTTTATAGTGGTGTTTTGTTATGAGTGTATGAATGTATGTAGGTCATATACATTGTTAGGTAAAAATGGGTTAGACTACATTATTAAGTAAACATATAATTATAGGATAGGCCTATATAAAAAACGTCTTGTTTCTTTTTTTTTCTTGGGTTGATACCAGGCAAATATTTCACTGAAAACCAAAATAAATAATTGTTATTTATATTTAAGCCTATCCTCATTTGTTTATAAATTATAATACTTTATTAATTTTCTTTTTAATATAACCTCATGCGACGCCACGCATTTCTATGTTCTCTTTATTAACATTAAATAATTAAAAAAAAATGTTATTTGCCTACCTCACTGTTGAGTAGGGCGCATAAATAGTCACCGATCCGACACAGAAGCAGTTAAGCATTAGCCAAAATATATAACCTTATCCTTATTTATTTATAAATTATAATACTTTTATTAATTTTCTTTTTAAAGTAACCTCATGCCTACGCCACGTATTTGTTAACATTAAGTACCTAGTTGTTATTAAATCCTACCTCACTGTTAAGTAGGGCTGCATAAATAGTCACCGATCCGACAAAGAAACAGTTAAGCACAAGCCAAAATATATAACCGAATTTTGTATCAATACTCCCAGGCGAAAACAAACACTGATACGCTAAGAATATTATTAATGGGATCTGAGTTGAACAAATTGACAATAAAAACACTGAGAAACAGTCGTCTGCTTTCACGACTGAGTCACAGAGGTGGTTGTGCTGTTTGCGAATTGACACGTACAATTGGTCGTCGACAAATTCACATCGGCCATTCTCATATTCTAATAGCATTTCTGAGAACGTATTTGCGAGTAACTTGAACTGCTTTTTCAAATACCGACAGACGAGGCAAAAGAAGAATGTATATGCTATGAATGCATTGGTTACAAGCGTTCCGATGGTGATAGTAATAACTAGGCTGGCGGTTGATGTCCACGGGGCAGACTGAATGTGGTAATCGGGGGTTTCGAGTACCAATGCGAACACTAGTAGAACAGCTAAGCACACGGCAGCATATACGACAGTAATTGCTAGTGCAATATTTACCTCAACTTTGGTCTGTTTCTTTCCTGGGACGCAGCGAAGGATGCGACTATCGATGCTGTTACAATATTTCTGATTGTGCTCAAAAAAAGCCAAAAATCCACTCTTTTTAGAGCACATTACATAAAATGCGATAATTATACACATACAATGGAAAAAGAATGCACTCATTATGATTTCAATGTAAGTTAATCCAGGATAAAAATCCGGTTTCCAGATTTCTGGAATGTATCTTACAAAGTTAAACACGCTTAATAGAGAAACGATTGCATGCCAAGATTTCCAGGATGTTGATTCCAACTTGCCCACGTCGACGAATGGAGGATCATGAAATACTCCAATGACCTTCATAAAAAACATATAATTCTTCAACTGAGAGTAGAGATGGTGATCTTCTCTTGTCACAGAACTCGGTGTGGCGTTATCCTCTACTGAATGAACTTGGTTTGTAGGAACATCGGTGTTTCTAGGGTGTTGAATTACGTCTCCATACATATTGAGGTAGGCTTGAACGACCCTTTGTCCAAGAATAAATGATGCTTCCCTTTACGAGATGATGAAGGTCTTTTTCTTTATGAAAATAACAAATATACAGAAGTTGTTACTGACGTGCTAATTTATGTTTAATAAATTTTTGATTTCATCGTCATCAAGTAGGCATTATTGTTTTCCATTTTAATGGAGAAATCGGTAGTTTGAACTAAATGTTGAGGGTTAGTCCTAAAACTCTCTAGTACCCACAAGATTGTATCATTAGTACCCCAAAATCCAGCGTATTTTGGTGTGCGTAGGCTCTACAGTCATTGCAGGTTAACAGAAGAAAGTGTTTCCATGCGTGTATGACAAACTGATGACGAGAAACGACAGCGTATAAGTGAGAGTCAAATTTAAATCACATAAATAGGACTTCATCAGTTGATCGATAACACTTAGGTTGCGTTTTGTAATTAAAGAATCCTGTTGTTTGCTTTCCTTATTAGACTACTGTGAATTGGACATTATAAACCTAATGGCATTCTCTTGTCTAATATCAATCTCACAAAACAACGAAAAATAGAAAAATGTTCAACGAGTAGGCCTATAACATTTTTTGGTTTGACTTCATCATTTCTCTAGGTTGAACCACTATTGACCTAACTATTTAAGTAACAAAACCTGGTGGTTGTGTGTTCGATTCCCACACGAACCATTTTTTTAAAAAGGCAGTTTAGTTGATGGTGGATAATGAATAGCAAACCTGGTTGTTGTGTGTTTGATTCCCAAACGAACCAATTTTTTTTTTTGGCCCGTCGGTAAACGTTTGAAATTTACAACCTCTAACCAACGTCGGCCCAACTGTTGTCACCAACCTCCACTAACGTTTACCGACGTCGGCCCAACAAAGTACTGTGACGTTGGGACAACATCTGTAATCACATCCTAATATTTACAACCTCTAACCAACGTCGGACCAATGGTTGTAACCAACCTCCATTCCAAACGTTTACCGACGTCGGGCCAACAGCGTTCTGTGACGTTGAGACAAGGTCTGTAATTACATTTTATATTTACAACCTCTGGCGAACGTCGGCCCAACGGTGGTAACCAACGTCTATTTCAAACGTTTACCGACGTCGGGCCAACAAAGTACTATGACGTTGCGACAACGTCTTTAATTACATCTAATATTACAACCTCTAACCAACGTCAGTCCAACGGTTGTAACCAACCTTCACTAACGTTTACCGACGTCGGGCCAACAAAGTACTCTGATGATGTTGCGACAACGTCTGTTATCACATCCTAATATTTACAACCTCTAACCAACGTCGGGCCAACGGTTTTAACCAACCACCATTTCAAACGTTTACCGACGTTGGGCCAACAACGTACTGTGACGTTGAGACAACGTCTACAATCACATCTAATATTTACAACCTCTAGCCAACGTTGGGCCAACGGTAGTACCCAACCATCAATTTAGTAGTTTGCCGACGGGTCGTGACAAAGTGCGAGCCAGCGAGTCATGCGAGCCAATGAGCGAGCCATGCGAGCCAGCGAGCCATGCGAGCCATACATTTTTAAGTTATAAAATTATAGCAGTTTATGGCCTAACTCTTATACACATATAACTAGAGTTATAGGCCAAGGCTTAGGCCTAGGTTAATTTATTATTTAATTAACTGTAAAAATAATAATATTTCGTCTCCCTCGGGACAAGACACTG